CCCCCCCCCCCTCCGATCTCCGCCTGTCGGCTCCCTTTCCCCGTCGCGTCCACGTCCATTTCCCTGATGTTCTCCCTGCAGCTCCGGTCGGCCGCCGGCGACTCGGACCACGCCGCCCTGGAGAAGCTCCTGGCCGGCCATCCGGTTGACGCCATCGATGACACCGGGGCCTCGATTCTCCACTACACCGCGTGGTCCGGCTTCACTTCGCTGCTGAGGTCCACCCTGCTGGCATTGGCCAGCTCGACGGGCCGAACGGCTGTCCCTGGGGCCACTGCTCCGGGCCCAAATGCCGATCGGGTGTTTTACCGGTCCGCGGTGGGGACCTTCGCGGCTGAGACCCCCCCTCCGGCCCCCCGGCTGAAGGAGCTCCTCGAGCAGCGCACCGAGGACGGCCAGACGGCTCTGCACATGGCGGCCCTGTACGGCCGGGCCCCGGCCGTGCGCATGCTCCTCTGCCTCGGGGCCGATCCCAATGTCCAGGACAATCTTGGCGCCACCCCGCTGCATATGGCCAGCGAGTGCAAGCGCGCCACCTCCGGCTGGGAGGGCGGCGGCACCAGCGCCCCGCCGCAGCAGAACCACCTCCTCTGCGTGGCCTACCTGCTGGAGGCCGGGGCTTCCACACAGCCGGAGGACCTGCTCGGTCGCCGCCCCGTGGATATGGTTTTCCTTGGCTCGCATGCCGAGCTGATCAAGATGCTGCTGGACTTCGCATCGGACGATCGTGCGTGGCGGGGCCCCTGCCTTGATTTTCGCCTCTCGGAGAGGCTGGCCCCTGTGGCCGCCCTCCGTGCCTCGCCCAGCTGACGCCGTGCCCCCCTGCCTCTTGCCCCCCCCCCCCCCCCCCCCCCCCCCCCCCCCCCCCCCCTCCCGCGCGCGCCGCAGGTGCCAAGCTTCCGACCTCTTTCTTGGCGGTGCCCGGCCAGTCGCCCACCTCGCCGCGGGCCTTCGACTCCTACGACCTGCCTTGCCTGCTGGCCAGTCCGGATGTCGGTGCGTGGCCGCGCTGCCTCTCCTCGCCGACCTGCCCCGCCCCCCCCCCCCTCTGCCCTCCATCGCCGCACCGCTCCTGACTTGCTCCCTCGCCATGCTCCCCCAGCCCGCTGGACCAGGGAGACCGTCTATCGCTGGGCCGAGCAGCAGCACCTCGCATCAATCGTCAATTTCAGCCCCTCTACCGGCATCGATGGGGCCCGGTTGTTGGCCATGTCGGACGTGTCCTTTTCGGAGCTGGTGTCCGGCGGGACGGCCAACGTCACCCGGGCTCTGGCCCAGCTGGCCGCCCTGCGTGCCTGGTACGCACTGTTCCGTGCCTCACAGCGCCAGGTCCTGGCCATCGGTGTCTGCCCCTCGGCACCGGACCCCCTGGCATCGGCCAGCGCGTCCGGCTCTGCCAATCAGTCCTCCAGCACCTTTAGCAGCATCGCCTCCAGTGGCCCACGGCCTTCGGCGCCCGTGAGTTTGGCCTCCATCGGCCGTGGCGGCGGCGGCGGCGGCGGCGGCGGCGGCGGCGGCGGCGGCGGAAGCACCGGGTCTCGGTCCCCCTATTCCAACTTCAGCTCTTCCATCATCGAGTTCCTGCGCCTGCCGCCCCAGGCATCCAGCACGCGGGACAGCTTCTTCCTGCGGCTGCCTTCCTCCATTCCCCGGGTGTCGACGGTGGCTTCCACCGCGCGGGTCAGCCTGCACAATGACTGTGCCTTCCCGGTGTACCTGGCGGAGGTCACCCCCCCGGCCCCCTTCAGGCCCTCCGGCATCGGCACCTCCTCCTTCTCCACGTCTGTGGCCTCCATGCCGAGCCCCACGGCATCATCGTCCTTTGCGCCGCTCACGCGTGCCACCACCTCCTCCGGATTCTCGCCCTCCACTCTCTCCGCTTCTTCCACCTCCTCGGCCTACAGCCCCTCCTCTTCCTCCTCCTCCACCGCCTACATTCCCTCGACCTACGCGTCGTCCTACACGTCGGCCATTTCGAATGTCCCGGCCCAGCCGGAGTTCACCCTCTCGACTCCGGTGCTCGTTCCGCCCGGGACCGTGCACACGGCCACCCCCCATGAGGGGGTTATCTTCCAGGTGTCCGCTTGCCGGCCGAGCGACCTGGTTGATGTCGCGGCCCCCCGGGTCATCGGATATCTGCGGGTGCGGTTCCCGGAAACGCGTTTCTTCTGCTCGGACGTCTTCCATCCCGAGCTGGATGCCGCCGGGGAGGCCATCCTCCGTGCTGGCGGGGCCTCGGGCGAGGAGGCGACCGCCGGCAGCGCCGACAGTGCCAAGGCCCAGTCCTTCGGCGCGCCTACCTACACCACCACCCAGTCCTCTGGAGCCTTTGTCTCGCGCTGGTCCAGCAACTCGCAGCTTCTCAGCCCCACCGGCCCGCCCGTGTCTTCCTCTTTTGCCCCTTCGTCGGTGTCTTCGCCGGCCACGGCCGAGGCATCGGGCATGCCCCCGCCGCCCTCCTATGAGGATGTCATGGGCAACGACCTCAGCCGTATGAAGCTTTGAGCCGATGTGTGGCGGCCCCTGTCCCGGGCATAGCCGGCTGGCTTTCCCGACGAGACTCCCCCCACCTGCTTCTGGCATACATTCACTCGGCAAATGTACAACCATTCTCCCCCCTCGCTTTCCCCCGGTTTGCAGCCCTCATCAGGCAGCAAGCGGGTCTGCTGATCCTCATCCCTGGCCTGTGGCTCTCCCTCTCTCTCTTCCTCTCTGTCTTTCTCTCTCTTCCTCTCTCTCTCTCTCTCTCTCACTGTCGGCCAACTATCGTTGCATTCGTTCTAGAGATAGGGATTCGTTTTGCATTTTCGTCTGGGTGACAATGGCCATTTCTCGCGGGCGAAGACAGGAGGAGGGAAGGGGTGAGGTGTGAGAAATGCCCGGAAGTGTGGATGCATCTGCCGACGGGCGGCAGACGAGCACAGGAGCTGGCCTACATGGCGCTCTGAAGGGCGCTCAGACGCTCCAGACGCATCTCGGACTGGCGGATGCCGGCGGCCGCGGGGTTTGCCTCGAAAATCGACCCGGCCGAGGGGGCCACCATGGCAGCAAACATGTCGCGCAGGTGGGGGCTCAGCTTGGCCATCGCCGAGCCAGGCACAATGCCGGCCGGCGGGGTGGGCTGCGGGTCGGGGCGCTTGGCGGTCGGCTCCGGGGCCGGCTCGCCGAGCAGGGCCTTGACCATCCAGTGGCGGTACTTGGCCAGCTTCTCCTGCGGACCGTGGCGTTCGTGGTCAGGAGGCCATCAAGGGGACGAGCGGGAAGGGGGGGGGGGGGGGGCAAGTGCTTTTCGGGCAGAAAAAGGGCGTACATTCTGGGCGAGGGTCTTGGCAGCGCGATCAGCCAGATCATAGTCATCATCTGGACGCGCGAGGGGGAGCAGAGATGGTGGGAGAGCGGGGCAAACAAAGAGGCCACCGAAAGTCAGAGGGCTGAGAGGCGGCAAAGGGACGCCCGGGAGCAGGAGTCAAACGACGCACAGGTGGCATTGAGCATCCGGAGATGAAGGTTACCAGCGGGGCCGAGAGCATCAACCAGAGCGGCAGCAGCCTCGTCGTTGTACTGGTTGTCTACGCGTCGTCATGGGGGCAATTTGCCGGTCCAGGGGCCTGAGAGAGAGAGGAGCGGGGGGGGGGGGGGGGGGAGAAGGAAAGGCCGGAACGCACAGTTGATCGAGAGCATGGTCAGGCCGGAGGAGTAGTTCTTCAGGGACTCGGCAATCGCCAGGACACCGGCGTTCTCGATGGAATTGACTGTGTGCGGGCGTGCGCGTCACATGCGAGAAGGAGGGAGAGGAAGGGAAACACAGACCAGGTGGCGGCGCGGGGGCGATTAATTAGCGGCGAAGCGCAGGCGGAGGGCACGGTGCCTGGGGCACCCTACGCACAGGTCAGGACCACCGACTGGAGGACGCCACTCTTGGCGATCAGGTCAGCGATGGACACGGCGCCCTGGTCGCCGATCTGGTTGTCTGATCGTGGGGATTGGTTAGTAGCTGGGAGGGCCGGGCTCGGCAATGGGCCGCACGGGGGGCAGGGGACAGGGCCACATACTGGACAGGTTGAGGATCGACAGGCTGGAGAGGCCATCGTTGGCGGCAGACACCAGGGGCTCGGCAATGGTGCACAGCTCCGGGTCGGCGAGGGAGCAATCTGGCCGCGAGGAGAGGAAAGCACAGGGGAGTCCCTCTGTCAGTGGTGGGCAGGGAGATCATATGCCCGGTGGACTGGCGGACGAACCACTGAGAGTCAGGAAGCGCAGACGGCGCTGGGCCTGGGCCGAGAGACGCGAGTCAGTGCTGTAGATCGAGGACACGGAAAGGGACTCCAGGTAGGCCTTGGAGTTGAGGGCATCCGCGCGGATGATGGCCGCGATGGCCTCCGAGCAAGGGCGGCTGATGGGAACGCCTATTCGCAGTCGAGGCGGCGCAAGAGGAGGGGGCCGTGCACGTAGGTGCATGCATGGACGCATGTGCATGTGTGAATGCATATTTGTGTTGCTGTGAGTCGATATCCCGCGAGGGGGGGGGGGGGACGGGGCGGGGGAAGGGCGCCCGGGGCCGGGTGCGTACCCTCGAAGTTCAAGAGCTCCGGGCGGAGCTGCGAGATGAGCGAGCCAAACTCCTGCCACTGGCTGGGGGTGGGGGCCTCGTCTGAGAGGCGTGTACAGGCCCCGCCAGGGGAAGAAGCAGCGGCAGGGAGCGAGGACGGGGGTCAGCAGCACAGTCAAAACCCGAGAGGGAAAGAGAGGGAGAGAGAGAGAGAGAGAGTGGGCAAGCTCAGGGGCGCTTCGAGCGGGCCACGCACCGGCCTCATCGATGGGCTGGTTGACAATGACAGCGGCGATGCGCTGGGCCGGCTCCTCGGACCGACGAAGGAAGTCCGCGACCGCGGTCAGGCCAGCGCGCGAAGCCGAAACAACAAGCGACTTGTCGCAGGTGGTAGCAATGGAGGCCATTCTGGGAGACAGGCGCAGGGGGCAGGAGCAGGAGGATGGTGCCAAGGGGAAAGGAGGGGACAGTCGGGGCGGGAGCGGGAGCGCGAGCGGGGGGGGGGGGGGGGAGGGCAGGGGGGGTGCCTCCTGCCCGCGGACCAGCCCTCGGGCCTGCCTTGGGAAAAATACCCAGGGACTCCTGTTGGGGGAACCCCTTCCGGCCGCGGAAGCCGCGTCCTGGGTCACGCCCGGGGCAGCAGACGTGCCTTGCGTGTCGGGGCACTCCACGTCCCCCGGGCCGCTCCCAGCGGCGGCGGCAGCGGCTAGCCCAGCTCGGGGGGCCTGGAGGGGCATGCCGCAAGCACACAGGGGGGGGGGGGGGAGACAGCGACCGCCTCCCGGGGGCTGGCACGGGCAATCGGCTGCCGGCTGTCGGCTGCCAACGCTAGGGTGCCTAGATGTGTTTTCTTTTGCCTCGCGCGCCGGGCTGGTCCGGGGACAGGATCCTCCCGGGCCCGAGATGCCTGCGCGATGGGGGATCTCCTCTGCGCCGGGAGGACTGGGGGAGCGCGTGCATGCTTTTTTTTCCGGCGCGCCGATCCGCCCGGCTGCCAGCCCGTCTTATGCCCTCCCCCCCCCCCCCCCCCATCTTCTGGGGTCTCCCTTCACGCCAGCCCCCGCCCGGATCTACACACACACTCCTCTTCTCCTGCTTTCCCCCCGTCCCTTTTGTCTTTGCCTCCCTTTGCGCCCCCCTGTCGCATTTGGTGACCGGCGACATGGCCACCTCGAACGACCCCGGCTCGCCGCAGTCGCTCTTTTCCCTGCGCTCGGTCACCTCCTCTCGGCTCTCTATCCGGAACTCCTTCGTCGGGGGAGGCGGCGGCGGTGCCGGGGGCAGCGGCAGTGCCGGCGGCGCCCCGTCCCGATCGGAAGGGCTCTTCTCGTCGACCTCCGGCTTCGGCTCGCCCACCTTTGCCTCCTTTACTGGGGGCTCCAGCGGGGGCTCCAGCCAGACACCTGGTGCCGGCTCGGGTCCCGGTGTCGGTGGCACCCCCCACTTGGGGGACTCCTTCTGGTCGGAGTATGCGGCTGGCGTCTACTTCCTCCGCAGGTTCGTCGCTGGCTCTCTCTCTCTCTCTCTCTCTCTCTCTCTCTCTCTCTCTCTCTTCGGCCCTCCGGGCTGATCCCTCCCATCCGAAGCTTGGCCCGCAGGCTCTGACACTTTCGGCGCGCCTTCGGCTCCATACCGACCACACGGCTGGGCCAGGCGCATGCTGCGCCGGCCTGATATCCCGCGGGCGCGTGCCCAATTCCTGAGGGTCCTTCTGGGGAGCGACCACCCGACCGGCAGGCCGGCAGATGCACCGCACCCCTTTGACCTGCGTGCGGCTTGGGAGTCCGAGTACCCGATGCTCGCGGGGCTTGCCTGCCTGTCGCTGGCTCGTGCCAGCACCGATCACCTGCCTGACCCGGTCCCGATCCTGGCTGCTGGTATGCCCGTCGGCCTGCTGGCCGGCATCCTTGGCCACCGCCCCTGCCCCTTCCCGCCCGATTGTCCTCCCTCCCTCGCTCTGTGTGTCTGACCTTTGCTTCTTCTTCGCCATCCACGTAGCCAACCGCTTTGCACTGGCGCACCGCGATGCCTCAGCCGCACCGCTAGGCAGCAGTAGCGCCGGCCTGGCGGCAGGCCCCGGGCGCAGCTGCACCGGTTCCCAGGCCACCACCCTCGGCCCCGACGCTCTGGACGCTTGTGATCTCTATCTTCTTGCGGCCTATGTTCGTCGATTCACCGCTCCTTGCCTCCCCGCCCTCCTCCTCGTGCCTCATGCTGCCACCCTTTCGCCCCTCTTACACACACACACACACACACACAACTGCCCATTCCGATGCTTGGGTAGCTCTTTGCCCGGCGCCAGGCCGTGTACCTGGCGGTTTACTGCCACACCATGTGCGCAGATCTCATTGAGGTATGGGTGTTCGTGTGTTGTACACACGCACACACACACACACACACAATGCCCTGTTCTCCTTCCCCCCTTTCTCTTTGGATTCCTGTCTTTCTGTGCTTTTCTCGCCCTCTCTCTCTCTCTCCCCTGACACCTTGACCAACCTTGTGAGGGCAGCGTTCGGGCCAATCCGCTCTCGCTGGTGATCACTATGCAGTGGCTCTGCGTTTGCTTCTATTGCCGTGCTATCTCCATCGGGCAGCTTCACTGCCGAGTCTCTTCAACTTCCACCAGAAGTCCCTGCCTCCCTTCGATGTGACGCGGCTCTCGTCGCCCTTCCGGGCGCTCGCTGGGCGCCTGGCCGCCCGGCGAGCCTGGCTGCTGGCGGCCAACTTCACCGGCACTTCGACGGGATGCACTTGTGCCGGGTGTCCGTGCTGCGTGTGCGGCCCTGCCGGCCTCGGGGGCCTGGCCGGACAAGCGGTCTCCCCAGCGACCAGCCTTGTTCCCCGGCAATGCCTGGCCCCGGGGGACTTTGTTTCGGCTCCCGTGGCGACTGTCGGGGCCCTGCTGGATGTGGTCCCTGTGGGCCTCGTCGCTGGCTTCTTCCGCGAAGCCAACTTCTCGGAGGAGGCTCGCGCGGCCCTGCTCTTCGCTCTGTATGATGCATGTCTCGTGCATGGGCGTGCGTTGCCATAATCCACCCCTTTCCTTCTTTCCTTGTTTCCCGGCTCTGAGGTCCCCTTACATGCCCTCGCTCGAAAATGCCCCTGGCTTCTTCCCGTGCACCTGTCACCCTTGCATACACGCACACACACACACACACACACGCATGCGCACATCGCACGCATGAACCGGAACATGGGTGTGCGCACCATCAGCCGGCCCCGCAGGCACCTCCTGGCTCGCTAGATTTACCGTGGCCCGACGTCTGCTCGGCGCCACTGGCCACACATCAATTCGCTCGATCATCCAAGGGCATCAAGCGGGCCAGCCACCGGAGTTGCTTCCTCACCCGGCCGGCCCTGATGCCCCAGCTCGCGATGAATACTCCATGTTCTCGCTGACCCCCTCGGTCGAGGCCCTTTACTCACCCATGATCCCGACCGTACGTCAATACGCATCGCCACAGGCACATGCTGCACACGCTGCATACACTGCACACGCTGCGCACGCTGCACACACACACACACACACACACACACACACACACACACCCACACAGACACATGAGGGGCAGTTTCACGCCATCGGGGGATGATCGCCTGCGCTTCTCCCCCGCGCCCCCCTCTGTCTATCTATCTCTCTCTGTCTCTCTCTCTCTCTCTCTCTCTCTCTCTCACACACACACACACACACACCTCCCTTGTCCCTTATGACAGACCCCCCCTGAGGTCGCTGCTGCCCTGCGCACTTTGTGGTTTGATTTGGGCCTGGCCGACTCCGACTGGTTCCTTGGCGGTCCGGCGGTTGCCCATGCCGGGCTTAGCTCCGAGGATGTGATCGCCCGGCAACAGGCTTTCGACTTCGGTTCCCCCCTGGGGCCATTGCTGAGGCTATGCTGCCCGGCTGATTGCGCGACTCTGCTGTCTCAGTCGGGTCTCTTCCCGGAGGAAACTCTCCCCTCGAGCCGCATGGCCAGCGATCTGGCTGATGCTTTTGCTCCCCTCGGTGGACGGGCCCCGGGATTTGTTCTCCAAACGATGTCCCCCAGCGGCGGGTGTCCCAGCGTTTGGGCGTCACTGGCTCGCGCCCTGTATGCTGTGGTGGCGGTTTGCAGCCACCTTGACAGTGAGTAGCCCACTCAGCATCTCCTCTCTCCTTCTCGCCTGTCTCTGGCTTTCGCCGCTTCAAATATCAACACCCCAAAAGCCATTCCATTCAACGATATCATCGTAACGTGAGACTGTTCCCTTCTTCAGGGTACTATTCTGCCTCCTTCTTCCTTCTTCCGCGTCCCTGTGTTTGTATGTATGTATGTATGTGTATGCGTATGTGTGTGTGTGTGTGTGTGTGTGTGTGTGTGTGTGTGTGTATGTGCAGGTGCGTATGTCTGTGTGGCAGTGTGTGTGTGTGTGTGCGCTCGCGTCAATGTGCATCTGGGGGTTTGTGTATTTCTACCATCCAAGGAGGAGGCTCAAGTGTGGCGCCGCTTACTGGCAGGACTGGCAGCAGCAGCATCACCATCGTCCTCGACAGGGGCCTTGCGTTTGCCAGTCGAGGTGTCAGCTGTCAGTTCAATGGCGTCCCCATCATCCAGCAGGATGACATCGCCATGGTCATTGCCCGGGCCGGAGGCAATATCCCCTGCCGGGGACTGGGGCTCCTCATTGTCGTGGCTCTCAGCCGGGCGCGGCTTGGCGGGGAGATCCACCGGGACCGCTGGACGCCCGGTGGCAGCCACAAGCAACTGACTCTCCTGAAGGTCGGTCCTGTTTTCATCCGCTGTATTAGTCACTGTGTCGTGGGTCCTTGAACGGAAGGGGGGGGGGAGGGAAGCGGGGAGCAAAGAGGGGGGAACGTGGACCCAAGGGGGGGGGGAGGGGAGAGAGAGAGAGAGCAAAAACGCACACGTGCTCGACGAAAAGCTCGGCCTGGCGCTCGCCCAGGTCATCCTCCACCAGGATGAAGGTATTCTCATCAATGCCAAGTGTGGCCAAGGTGGAACCATGGTTGGAGTCGAAGTCCGCATCAGCCAGCAGTCTAGCCGCGCATTCCGAGAGGAAGGTCAGGGGAGATGCCAAGAGGAGGCAGTAGCTCAGGCATTTCTGCGGGCGAGAAGCAGCAGTGCCGAAGGCGGCGGCGGCGGCGGCGACGGCGCTGGGCAATCGGGACCGGGCACCGGAGAAGGGCATGGTTGTCACACGTACCGCGCCTCATCGTTCTGAGACGAAGACACCGAGACTGAGGGATCCTCGAGTTCCAGCTGCTCCTGCAAGCTGGTCCGGATGAAATCCTGAGGAAGGACGCCACGACAGCGGTCAATATGCTGGGCAAAAGGGCACACGACGGAAAGGGGGCATGGTCGCAGGAGGCACGTACGCCGAGCCGGGCAACTTTCAGGTCACACCGGAGGACCAGCTTCGTGGGGCCCTGGCAAGCGAGGCAATCCGGCTTGGGGGGAGCCGGGCGCTCCTTGGACATGAGCCGCGCCCGGCCAGGGCCCTGGACCAGGTACGTGGTGCGTGAAGAGGGGGCCAGGCCGGGCCCAGCATCGGCCGCTCGCGGTGGGCCGGTCAACAAGGCAATGATCTCCAAGACCGCCTGGCCAGACACAATGGCTAGCCGGAGGTGTGGATGCAGGTGTGAGCCGACATGCGCCGGTGGCGGCGCAAAAGGAGCAAAAGTGGGGCAGAGGAAAGGCAAAGGGCCATGGGAGGGGGCCGAAGGGGGTGTGGCCGCGGCCAAATGGGCCCCGGGCAAGTCGGCGCACCATTGGTGGTGGCAATGGCCGGGATGATGTTCCCGGCGATGGACCGAGCGCGGAAGCGCGACTGCGGCGTGATGCCAAAGCAGATCATGCGCAGGTTGGCCGCGGCGCAGACGAAATCCATCATCAAGTCGTCATCCTTGTCGAAGGCCAAAGCCTCGGCCTCGGGAGCGGCACTGGCGGGTCACCAGCCCCACAGAGGGAGAAGGGGAGAAGGAGAGTCAGATCGCGGGGAAAGGTCTCGAGGAGGAGCCCCACCTGGCCAAAAAAAAAAGGGCACCAGCCAGCCAAGCCGCTTGGGAAATGGGGGGGGGGGGGGGGGGGACGTGTCGTACCAGGATACACGCAGGGCCAGTTGCTGCATGGAATCCAAGAAGACGATGGCATTTTCGGCGACACTCCAAACCTGCTGGTCGCCCACACCGCCGGAGGCCGCACGCATCAGGACCCGGCCACCGGAGTGGTGGTCATTCCCGGACTCCAGGGGCAGCAGCTGGTCAATGTCCAGGGGGGTCGGGGGGGTCCGGCCGGATTCCGGCGCCCACAGAGCCTCCAGGGCCAGCAGGCGGTCGATGTCCCCGCGGAAAAGGTGATCAAAGAGGCGCCGCCGGGCGGCATGCGTGTCGGACAGCATGTCCGCTCGGAGGGCGGCCACCGCGCGATTCTCCGCCAGCAGGGCCTCCAATTCGTCGGCGCCGGCGGCGTCCAGTTCGCCCGGGGCGCCGGAGGGCGCGGCCTCCTGGCGTCGGCGCTCCACCGCCGCCTCAAGCTCGCGCGTCTCGGCAGCCGTCTCGGCCGGCGAGCCGAACAGCTGTGGCAGCAGGAAGTCCTTGGCCCACACCAGGCAGTGGATTGGCAGCGACGGGGTGCTGCGGATGGTGCACACGGGGAAGGACTTGCTCGGCGGGGGAGGCGTGCAGTCATAGCATTCGGACTGGCCGCCGGCGATGACGCTCACCTGGCCAAGGTAGCCCGTGGTGCCGGACTCGACTGGAAGTGGCCGCGGTGCAAGGGTCCGGGAAGGTTAGCAGTCGACATGACGTAGGCACGGGGGGGGGGGGGGGGGGGGCCCGCCATCCGGCCGGAGGGAGCATCGTTGATGAGGGCGCACCGAGGGGCACCCCGGCAGCCATGCACATGCGATTCACATGGCGCCGGGCCGGGATGTTGTCCAGGGCGCCGATGACCACGTCGAAGCGCCGGAAGAAGGAGATCCCATACTGGCTCATGTCCAGGATGGACCCCAGGTGGGGGTGGAGCTTGCCGGCCAGCGCAGGCTGGAACTTCAGGGCCGACTGGCAGGCGGTCTGGCGGGCGGTGGAAAGGCGAGCAATGGGAAGGGCAGGAGCAAGAGGAGGGGGGCCGATGGATGGAGGTCAGCTGCGGCACACCAAGGGGCCGGCGTGCGTGTTGGCGCAAGCGCCGGACGGACCGTGGACTTTGGCAGACCCACATGCTCGCGCTGGAAGAGGAACTGCCGGTTGAGGTTGCTCAGGTCGATGGTGTCCAGGTCAATGACATCGATGGAGCCGCGCGGGCCGGACGCAAAGCCAGCCAGCACCAGGTTCTTGAGAATCTCGCAGCCGATGCCGCCGGCCCCGACCATGAGCAGCCGGGCGTCCGTCAGCCGGGCCAGATCCGTCTGGCCCAGGAGACGCTGCAAGTCCTGCAGCAGGTGAGGGACGCTCATGGAGAAAGAGACAGGGAGACAGACAGAGAGGGGGAGGAGGAGAGAGGCAAAGGGAGGACACTGGGCGCAGGTGAGGCAGGGGGCCGAGGACGGGCAGGCAATTCCCAGGGGCCCCCGGCAGTCCGCCCTCCGGGCCGGGTTCTCTTCATATGCCGGCGCCCCGTTCTTGGCGGATGGCCGTTGCCGCTGCCGGCCCTCCCCGCGACCCGGTTCTCCGGGACGCTGGCGCGCACGCCCCCCC